AGGAGGAGGAAGAGAAGAAGGAATGAGGAGGGAGAGGTGGAGGAGAAACAGGAGGGAGGGGAGCAAAAAGAGGAGAACGACGAAGAGGGGGAGTGAGGTGAAGGAGGCCGAGGAGGCGGTCGACAACGACGACGATGCCGACGACGAGGAGGACAACAAGCAAGGATGACGAGGAAGACAGGATTGACAGGATGGAAGAGGTCCTGATGGCAACGGGTCCTAGACCCCAGAGGGTTCACTGGGACAAGCTGTTCATCCCAACACGATTTTGACGGTCTGGGGCTCGCCGAAAAATATTAAGGACCCCTTCGTAACAGGACTCCTTCCCTTCATGCTGAACAGGAGGAGGAAAACAAGGAGAATCCTCCTCATCCTCCTCTATCCTCTTCTAGCTCACATCCTTGTGCCCAGTATCACCACTACCGACATCGTCATCACCACCACGGCAATCATCGTCGTCGTCCGTTAGTATGTCCTCCTGTCATTGTCGCTGCCATCGGCGTAACAACCCATCATCAGTACAACCAGCATCGTCATCATCATCCTCATCATCATCATCATACACTCATAATCATCATGCTCATCATCATGCTCATCATCATTATCAACAACAACAGCAGCATCGTTATCATCATCATCATCATCATCATCATCATCATCATCATCAACAACAGCATCATCAATGTCATCATCAATATCATCACCATCATCACCGTCATAATCATCGCTATCATCATATGATTCTTGCTCATCATCATCATCATCATCCTCATCACCTTCATCTCCTTCACCATCATAATCATCATCATCATCATCATCATCATCATCATCATCATCATCATCATCATCATCGTCATCAGCATCAGAATCATCAGCCTCATCATCGTCATCATCGCCATCACCAACATCAGCATCATCATCACCACCACCACCACCACCACCGTCATCATCACAATCATCATTAACACCAGCATCATCATCAATATCATCATCATCATGATTCATCATCATCATCATCATCATCATCATCATCATCATCATCATCATCAGCATCCTAATCATCGTCATCAGCATAATCATCATAATCATCATTGACATCAGCAGCATCATCATCGACGTCATCATGAACATCAGCATCAGCATCATCAGCATCTTCATCATCAGCATCATCATCCTCATAATCGTCATCATCGCCATCGTCATCAGCATCATGCCTCACCACAATCACCATCACCATCATCATCATCATCAACAACACCCACATCACAACCATCCTCATCATCATCATAATAATAATCATCATCATCATCATCATCACTATCATCATCATCATCATCATCATCATCATCATCATCATCATCATCATCATCCGCATCCTCATCCTTATCCTCATCCTCAGCATATCATTGACATCAGCAGCATCATCATCAACATCATCATGAACATCAACATCAGCATCACCATCATCATCATCATCATCATCAGTATCATCATCATCATCATCTTCATCATCATCACCACCACCACCATCATCATCATCATCGACATTATATTCATCAGCAGCAGCATCATCAACATCATCATCATCAACATCACCCTCATCGTCGTCATTGTCGTCAGCAGCAGCAGCAGCAGCAGTATCATCATCGTCATTGTCATCGTCATCATCATCGTCATTATCGTCATCATCATCATCACCATCATCATAATCAGCATCATCATCGTCATCACCATCGTCAGCATCATCGTCATCATCAGCATCGTCAGCATCATCGTCAGCATCATCGTCATCATCATCAGCAGCATCGTCATCATCATCATCATCAGCCTCATCGTCATCATCATTGTCATCATCATTCTGACAACCAAGGTTATTACCATCATCGATGTCATTCGCTCCACCCCCTTTGATCCTTGATCAGATTCGTTCCCTTCCTCTGACGGCGACGACCACGGCGACGACGACGACCACGACAGCGACCATAGACGAGCGTCGACGACGACGAACGACGACGAATACGCCGACGACGACGACAAGGCCGCCGATCGCCGACGGCGGCGAGGGCCGACAACGCCGTCCCGCCGCGCGCCTTCCTTGCCGGGGCCCACGGTGTAGCCGCGCATGTAGCACCTGTCGCGCCCGCGGGGCCAATGGCCGCCCGCGGGAGCGGCCCTGCGACCACGCCGAGGGCAACGACGGCGACTCCGACGGCGCCGCCACCGACGATGACGACGACGACGTCGACGCCGAGGATGGCGACGACGACGACGACGACAACGCCGAGGATGGCGACGACGACGACGACGACGACGATGACGACGACGAAGACGACGACGACGACGACGAAGACGACGACGACGACGACGACGACGACGACGACGACGACGACGACGACGACGACGACGACGACTACGACGACACCGACGATGGCGACGACGACGACGAAAACGACGACATCAATGCCGACAATGACGATGATGCCGACGCCGACGACATCGACGACTCTGGCGATGGTCTTCGGCGGCGGCGGCAGCGACGGCGGCTGCGGCGAGGACGACGACGAGGGAGGAGGGCGTACTCCTCCCTGGTCGTCAAGGGAAAAGATTGCGTTGTCCGAATATCGTCCTCCGCCCCCTTTTCCTCGAGAACCGGGCACCATACGCCTGACCGACAACTCTGAGCAGGCACCATAGCCCACCCCGACAATACTGCGTCAAACGCCAAATTATTTACTGTGTGTGCTCATGGATTTCAGGGTTTCCACTTCTTGGACCGTGAACGGCACTTGCATCCCTTGCCAGTCGTCTAGTGCCCAGCACAGGCTTCAATGATTGCATGGACCGATGCGAGGGGGAGTGTAACCTCGGGTGGCGCTCTGTTGGTGTGTATATCATGTGTGTTGTATGTGTGCGTAGTGTGTCATGTGTATCTTGCCTGGGTGTCACCTCCTCTCGTCCATCCTGTCCCCGTGTGCGTCATCCTCCCTCCTGCACCCTCGCTCTTATCCTCCCTCTCCGCCGGAATGAAGGCCATGCGACTCGTGGACAGGAGTTGCTGGTTCAGTAATGCGTTCTCTCAACAGGTCGGACGTAGAGATGGTAGGTTACTCAGACAAGCCGAACCCCTCTACCTGCATGGAGGTCTCGGCTATCGTAAGAGAGAGCCGGCGATCCAAATCCAGCTCATACCTAGTTCGCGCCTCTCACAACTGAAAAATCAGTGCACTATATGTTATGATCAGACCAACGCGATTTCTGCTGCCGCATATGACGATACAGACACCTACAACTTGATCCACAAGATGTGTTTTTCCTCGGGCATACATGCTACATTGGAATGTGCTGACGGAGAGGGGCATTCTAGAGTGGGGGAAAGGAGTTCTGCAAGGCAGCCAAGCGGCACCTACCAAATACACGCGCACTTTCGATCGATGTGTTCTCGCCCCCTGGAAAAAGACCCAGCAGGTCAGCAACTTCTGTGCACGGACCTCGTCGGTGAAGACTCGGAGGCCAAGGTGGATATAGGCACGACCGCAGTCTTGCTCACAAGTGTGTCGCAAGAACTTCCGAAGGAATGAGATTGGCTGTTACAAGCGCGAGTCGGGAAATAGATGCGTCTCTTTATGGCGCAGGAGGTGCGAACATATGGCTAAGCAGAAGATCGTACCCCGTTTTGCCGGAGCTGGGCAACACGCAGTCCAAGCGCGTCACGTCTGCACAGCGCGCGCGCGATGTATCTTCTCAAGACTGTCAACATGTACCGTACCTCGCTAAGTATTCAGTTTCACCATAATTCCACAACTTCGTAACAGAGACACGCTGCAAAGAAGCACATGTATATGGTGGTGCTCCATGGATAAATTGTGGTTTCGACCTCGGAGAGAGCGTGATCCATCGCCGCTTCACTGTGGAAAATTCCCCCCCCTCTTCCTCCGGAGCCCGGGGGTCCCCCCCCCCTTCGAAAATCCCCTGGAATTCCCCCCCCCTTCCCCTCGGCAAAACCCCCCCCTCCCCTGACCCACCCCCACCCCCCTCTGGAAAACCGGGGAGGGGCACTACCGGTTCGAACCCCCCCCCCCTCCGGAAAACCGAAAGGGGTCACTTCCAGTTCAAACCCCTTCTCCCCCCCCCCAGAAAACCAGAAAGGGGTCACTACCGGTTCGAACCCCCCCACCCCTCCGGAAAACCGGGGGGGGTCACTACCGGTTCGAACCCCCCCCCTCGAAAACCGAGGGGGGTCACTACCGGTTCGACCTCCCCCCTCGAAAACCGGGGGAGGTCACTACCGGTTCGAACCGCCCCCCCCCTCGAAAACCGGGGGGGGTCACTACCAGTTCGAACCCCTCCCCCCCCACCCCCCACGCTCACCGCCAGCAAACAATTCTGGGTCCCTACCACCGTCCGCACCACATCCCCCACTGCTGTCCCCAGCACCACTGTGCTCACCACCACTGTCCCAACTGTTCCCACCACCGTCACCACTGTCCTCACCAGTGCCCCCACCACTGTCGCACTGTCTCCACTGTCCCCACCACTGTTCCCACCACGGTTCCACTCCCCACTTTCTCCACGGCCCCAACCACTGTCCCACTGTCCCCACTGTCCCACTGTCCCCGCCGCTGTCCCACTGAGCTGTCCCACTGTTCTCATCACTGTCCCCACTGTCCCCACCACTGTCCCTACTGCACCTCTGTCCCATTATCCCACCGCCGTCCTCGCCACCACCCTCACCACTGTCGCCACCACCACTGTACCCTCTACTGTCCCACTGTTTCCACCACATTCCCACTGTCCCCACACCACTGTCCCCACCACCACCGTCCCCACCACTGTCCCACTGTCCCCACTGTTCCCACCATTATCCCCGCTGTTCCCACCAGTGCCCCTATCAGTGCCTTATTGTCCCCACTCTCCCCGCCACTGTCCCACCACAATCCCACTCTCCCCACTTTCCCACGGTGCCCACCACTGTCCCACTGTCCCCACTGTTCCCACCACTGTCCCACTGTCCCCGCCGATGTCCCACTGTGCCGTCCCACCGTCCCCAGTCCCCATCACTGTCCCATTGTCCCCACTGTCCCAACCACTTTCCCCACTGTATTACTGTCCCACCACTGTCCTCACCACCGCCTTCACCACTGTCCCCACCACTACCGTCCCCACCACTGTCCCACTGCCCCCACCACTGTCCCGCTGTCCCTCACCACTGTCCCCACCACCACCGTCCCCACCACTGTCCGCACCACTGTCCCACTGTCCCCGCATCACTGTCCCCACCACCACCGTTCCCACCTCTGTCCCAACATCCCCACCCTTCTCCAACTGTCCCGAGGAGCGGGCATCGTTCGGCCGGTAGTGACCACCCCCGGTTTTCGAGGGGGGGGAGGGGTTCGAACCGATAGTGACCCCCCCCCCCGGTTTTCGAGGGGGGGGGGGAGTTCGAACAGGTAGTGACCCCCCCCCCTTTTCATGATGGACGGGGGGGGGGGGAGGGGGGTCGAACCGGTAGTGACCCCCCTCGGTTTTCGAGGGGGGAGGGGGGACGGGTTAGGAACCCCCAGTGACCCCCCCCGGTTTTCCGCCAGCAGCGGTAGAACGCGCTCTTTCCGACCTCGGGATCCAACAAATATTGTCTGCATTCTCTTCCAGACGCGGGTCCAAGGGGCAGCTCTGAGCGGCATGGAAGCGTTGATCCCATTGGCTAGTGACTATAGCTTGATTCATGGGCTGCTACTAAAGTGGGAGAGGAAGCTGCTAAAAGGGGATGCTATGCTAAAACATGCTCGACCTGATGGGGACACCGAGTATACATCTTTGCAGGCACGGTAGGTTTGGCAACAGCTCGGCATGGTCCGAACGCAGCTAGATAGAAAAGTACGAATACGGCGACTCACATGTTTCAGACAGGTGACCAGTCAGTCACAAGACAATCAAGAGCTAATCGCAGTTATGTTTGGGCAACTCACAGAGGAAAAGAACCCAACTACCTATGATTGGCAACTCCGTCGAGATCCATGGGCTCTGCAGGCGACAAATGATATCGACAAGGATCTTCCAGAGGAGATATAGGAAAAGGTGCTACTGGTGTTCACCCCACAGCTGTGTGAGAAGTTCAAGAAGAGTTGTGTTGCCAAACTGCGTCAGTGTTTCTGGGAGTGAGTTATAGATGCTCAGGGAAAGTCCACCACTGAAGCTAAGAATGTGCAAGATGAACAACTCCCTGAACCACCACCTGCTCCTGTCTGGGTGTGCAGTGAAACTACTAGCAGTGGGGAGGTGTGCAGGCTCGGTACGCACACATTCGCTTCACGAAAAAGGGTAGCCACGACCATCGCACGCTGAGCCAACTCCTTAACATTACCAATCCATGCCCCTGGTGTACGAGCGTACATTCGACAAGGGCAATATCACAACAGCACGTCCGTCGGCTCTTTCTTGATCATGCTTGCCATTCCGACCGCAGCCCTGTGCACCATGAGGTAGTTCAACCTGTATCGTTGTCATTCCCAGCCTGTGGTCTGCAGACACTTCGCTCGAGCCACTCCAGAGGCATATCAGATCGCACGCCGAACTGCCGAGCACAGCTCAGTTTATCTTCACAGTTGATGGTGCAGTGGGCCATCGCAATCGACGAGGTGGAGCTTGCGGGGGCCAAGAAGAGGCTGGCGATGGACCCTCCCAAGAACCCCCCTTCGGTGGTTGCTCCAGCGGCGAGCGCGCCCGCAAGCAGCGCCGGCCGAGTGGTGCAGCAGCTTCGGCAGCGCCGAAGGGAACAGGCATGGACACAGACGAGTCCGACGGCGAGACGGCGACGGATATGATGAAGCTCCAGCTCAACTCAGCGCAGCGCGACAGAGCGCTGGAAGGATACCCACTGTCGGCGCAGCAACTGCGGGTTCATTCCTCTCGCGCGCCCACGCAGCTTCGCCTCGCCCGCACGCACGACACGAACGAAACGAAACGATCTCCTGGTTGGGGGTCTCCGTCCCACTGCGATCTCACCCCCCAACCTCCGATTTCTGAATATGCCTCCTGTGGAGGGACAGGCCCCACTTACGGCCAGCGTCCGGGGTGCCCCGGGGCCTCGAGGCCTGGAGGTGCCCAGGAAGGAGGGGAGAGAGAGAGAGAGAAATGGGGCGAGAGAGGCGCCCCGCTTCCTGGCCCCATCCTCCCGCCCCCCCCTCCCCTCCTCCCCTCCAACTCCCCCTCGCCCCCCTCCCACTCCCACTCGCCCTCCCCCTTTCCCCCTCCCCTCCCCTCCTGCTCCCCCTCTCCTCCCCTCACCCTTCCTCGCCGGAGATCTCTGGAAACCCCCGAGCCCCTCCAAGAACTTCAGGGAGGTTCAGCCAAATTCATGAAAATACACACGGGAGAACATAACCGTACCCCCTTCTGCTCCCCTTCTGCTCTTGTTCATCCTCCCCCCTGGGAACCTGAAAAACATCAGCGGGGAAAAGACAGCGTGCGAAAACCTCCGATGATCAGATGACATCCTCGTCCCTGGTCCAAAGTGTCTCCAGTTTCCCGTGTCTTGTCCGAGACGCTGGAGCCCTCTGGACATCATGGGGGAGTGCTACAGTGGGGGCTCGAGCACAAGAAACCTTGCACAAGAAACCCAACCCTGAGACCCCAAAACGTCCATCGATGTTTGGTGTGGGAAAGTCACGCTTTCCATCGCAGACCGTCGAAACCCAAGAAAACGAGGGCACCCTGGAGGCAAGCAGGGTGTTTCTTGGCATGGGCCCCCACTGTATCTCTGGGCCTTCTCGGACATCCTGGGGACACATTGGGCCAGGGACACGGTTGGCAACGCCCCACAGATCTAGGCAGCCGCGCCGATGGCCCAGGGGGGGCTAGGCGCCCAAGGTCTTCGCCCCCTCTGCTCTCGTTGTGGATCTGCTCCCTGATGTGCGTCATACCAAACCTGGTGCCGCTCCTCTCCCTCCCTCCCGTGTCCTCCACCTCACGCCTCCTCCTCCTCCCTCCTCCTCCTCCTCTCTCAATCCTCCTCCTCCTCCTCTTCCCTCCTCGTCCTCCTCCTCCTCCTCCTCCTCCCTCATCCCTCCTCCTCCTCCTCATCTCATTCATCATCTCCCTCATCTCCATATCATCATCATCATCATCAGCAGCATCTACCATCATCATCATCGCATCAGCATCATCCCATCATCATCTCATCATCATCATCATCATCATCATCACCAGCATCAGCATCATCATCATCATCATCGTCATCATCATCATCATCATCACCAGCATCAGCATCATCATCATCATCATCGTCATCAGCATCAGCATCATCAGAATCATCATCATCAGCATCACCATCATCATAAGCATCATCCTCATCATGATAACCATCATCATCAGCATGGTCTGCAACATCAGCATCAGCATCACCATCATCAGAAGCATCATCATCATCATCAGCAGCAGCAGCAACAGCCTCTTCATCATCATCAGCATCATCACCATCACCATCAACATCGCCCTCATCATCATCATCATCATCAGCAGCAGCAGCATCAGCATCAGCATTCGCATCAGCATCATCATCTGCATCATCAGCAGCAGCAACATCACCATCACCATCACCAGCACCATCATCATCATCAGCATCATCATCATCATCATCAGCAGCATCAGCATCAGCATCATCATCATCATCATCATCATCATCATCATATCATCATCACCACCATCATCATCATCATCATCATCATCATCATCATCATCATCATCATCGTCATCATCATCATCATCATCATCATCATCATCATCATCATCATCATCATCATCATCATCATCATCATCATCATCATCTTCGTCATCATCAGTAGCATCAGCATCAGCATCAGCATCAGCATCATGATCATCATCATCATCATCATCATCATCATCATCATCATCATCACCAGCATCATCATCAACAGCATCAGCATCAGCATCATTAACATCATCATCATTATCCGCCGACCCCTTGGGTCGTCGGCGTGTGAGATGCTTCCCCCTCCCCAAACCCCTCCCCCGGGAACCCGGTCCGGTCGATTTGGAAGGGGGGGGATGCCCACCGCGAGCGACTCACGACGCTCTTCCGGGCCCAAAAGGGCCCAAATACGGGCCAAGAAGGCCCCAAGAGGCCTCCCAGACGTTCCAAGAGGCCCCCAGACGCCCCAAGAGACCGCCTAGACGCCCTAAGAAGCGCCCAAGAGGCCCCAAGGGCCCAAGAGGCTTCCAAGACGCCCCACGAGGGCTCCAAGACGCCCGACGAGACCTCCGACGCCCCAAGAGACCTCCAAGAGGCCCCCGAGGAGCGCCCCAAGAGGCCAGAATCGTTGATTTTCATTGGTTTTTTCGATGTTTTCGTCATTTTCGCGTTTTCGGCCTTCCGACGCTCCAAGACAGCCCAAGAAGCTCCCAAGACTGCCCCAAGACGGCACAAGAGGCCTCCACGACGCCCCCAAGACGGCCCAAGAGAGCCCCCAGACGGCCCAAGAGCCGCCCAAGGCGGCCCAAGAGTTCCCCCAGACGGCCCAAGAGCCGCCCAAGACGGCCCAAGAACCTCCCGGAAACGGGCCCAAGAGGGGCTCCAGAGAGAGACCACTCACCGGAAAACCCAGCCTTACGCCCCAAGAAGCCCCCAGGAGGCCCCAAGAGGCCCCAAAGAGGCCCCAAGAACCCCCCAAGAGGCCCCCAAGACGTTCCAAGAGGCGCCCAAGAAGCCACAAAGAGGCCCCAAAACGGCGCCCAAGAGCCTTCGAAACTGCTCCAAGAGGCCCGCAAGAAGCCCCCCCACAAGATCCCAACGGACATCTCCGAACACACCGGTTTTTCGAGTCGCGCCCAGCCCCATAACCCGGAGCCTCATCTCAGTGTCCCCCATCCTCCTCCTCTTCCTCCTCCTCCTACACTTCCTCCTCGTTCCCCTCCTCCTCTTCCTGCCCCGCTTCAGCTCATCCTCACCGATGCTTATCGCCCCCATTTTCTGCCTCACCCCCCATCCTCCTCTTCCCGTCCCCCCTTCTGCCCAGCACGCGCAACCGATTGGGCATCATTTGCACGTCTTGCACTTTAGGGTGCCCTTCTTTGCGTCGCGCGGGACATTGTGCGGGTCGGGGAACGCCGACTTTGGTAGTCCTCTCTTGCACGCGCCGCTGCACTGATAAGCTTGGCAACTGCGCGCTGTGAACCCGAGTTCCTCGCAGCTTCTGCACACCACTTTAGCTCCTTTCGCCGCTCGATGATGTTCCACTTGCTTCTGCTTCAAATGTTTCGTGTCCGAGAACGCGCCTTTGCACGCCGCGCACGTCAGCGGCTTCGCGTCCGCCTCTGCTTTCCGCTTGCGATTCTCTGCATCCGCCTTCTCGTTCCGCCCACCCTTCTCGTTGCGGGCGCACGCCCTGCAAAGCCTCTCCCCCGCATCTTTCGAGTCGTACTGGTTCGCCGCCACTTCCGCCTCCGTCTTCAAGAAATTCTTGCATTTCGCGCACCGAATCTTGAATTTCTCCTGAACCTTCTCCTGCCACGCCGCCGACTCCTTCCGTGACTTCCGCGCCGTCGCGGGCCCCGCGCATCTCTCGCACTTGCTCGTCCTTACGCACACTCGCCTTCCGCGAGCCTCGTCCTCTGGCGCCCTCGGCCCCAACGCGGCCCACGTCTTGCATTCGGTGCACCACTTTTCGCCCGCTTCCTTCAACTCATCCGCGCACTCGCGACAAAAACACGGCCCGTCCTTTTCCCTGATCTCTGTGAGCGTGAAACCCGCTTTCTCCTTCTAGGTGCTACATCTACTGCACATATTACGGGGCATCAGCTTCGCTTCTATTTCCGCCCACGGCACCTCCTCCCTGCGTAACTTGCCCAGCAGATGTTTCGCCCCTTCCATCTCTCCGTGCGCATACGGCTTCATCTCAAACGGGCGATATATCAGCAAACCTCCACGAGTCTTCACGCGGGCGATTGCCACGTAACTCGCCATCCAACTCACATTTCGACCCTCCTGCTAATCTGCGACGACAGCGTCTAGGGATCGGCCCTGCGCCGCGTGAGCCGCGCTTGCCAGGCCCGGCGATATCAGAAACTGCTTCCGCCGAACACCCAACACAGGCTTCTTACGGTACGCGCCCAAGAACCAGACCCGTTGTTTCGGTACGATCGGATACAAGCCCGGCCCTGGCATGCTCTTCAGCGTCCACGCGTCCGTATGAAAGTCGAGCACGATCTGCCTCGGCATCCTCCGAAGCGCGACTTCTGCCGCGTCCGCGACGGCGCCCTCGTCCTCGTCGACAACCCACGAGTGAATCGTCGCGTGGCACCCGCGGAGCAGCTGTTTCTCACCCCGATCCAAATGATCTGTCAAAACCACGGGCGTGCCCGCCGCCAGCGGCAGCCACCCAGGCATATCTGCGCATGCTTTATCATGGTATCCCTCCCACCGAACCTTGTCCGCAGACGTGCACGGCCGTTTTTGGAGGGCCCCGTGACGCGCCACGTCCCTCGCGCACACCCACGAAATGTGCTTCCCCTCGCTCGCGGCCCAGTCCACGGCACGCTGGCGCGCGACTTTGCATTTCACATCCTGATTCGGGTAAATCGCTGTCGCCTTCACGAACTCCGGCAAAAAAATCGTTCGTCATCGGGCCCCGTCGCGACCAACTGCCGTCTACGCCGCTCTGCTTTACAAAGATCGCACTCCTGCGTGTTGTCTCTTGCGATGGCCTCTGCGTTCTTCGCGCAGTGCTCGGAACCGCACGTTGGCCCACGCCCCACCCACGACCCGGCTACGTCCGTCGGTCGCCCGCGCAGGAACTGGCGCGTCCGTTCGCTCAAGGCCCCGCGCCGGAACTCGTCCTGAACACTCCAGAACCACTCGTCATGACCTTCCAACCGCTTGCATTCCACTAGCTCGGTCATCCCTGCAACGGAACCGTGCCCCGCACCCCAGAAAATGCAATGCCCATGGTCCTCCCCCGCGCTTGGCGCGCACTGCCTTGCCTGACGAACCCACGACGTCGGGATCGCGTTCAAAGGCGCGCCACCCGGCGGCTCCAGCTGGTAGAGATCTCCACAAAACAACACATTCACCCCTCCAAACGGCCTGTCCACCCCTTCAGCGTCAACCTTTCCCTGGCGCGCCGCCGACATGACCGACCGCAAATGCGCGTTCAACTCCGCGAGAAGGCTTGCACTTAACATGCTAATCTCATCGATGACTAACCACCGCCACTGTTGCATCCGCTTGGCAGCCTCCACCTTTTTCGCCCCGTCCGACCCGCGCTTCTTAGAGTTGTCCGAACCGCTCGCAAAGGGCGTCATCCCAAAAGCCGCATGCAAGGCATGCCCGTCCAGCGCCGACGCGTTCGTGGCCTGCAGCGCCGCCACTTGAAAGTCCAGCCCGTGTCTCCACTTCACGATACCCTCGAACACGTGCGTCCGCAAAGCGTCCACCACGTAGCTCTTGCCTGTCCCTGGCCCCCCGTGCAACATCCACGACAAAGGTTCCCCGCTTACCCGTGCTGAGTCGTCCTCCCCGCACTCCTCTATCATCCTGCTCACGACTTTCCCGACCACTTCCCGCTTCTGCTCGTTGAGCTTCAGCGGACGCTCCTCCTCGGGTCCGCTGAGGCTCGCTCTCCATTTCCTCAGCTCCCGCGCGGTCCCAGCCGGCTCGGACACAATGCGCCCGTCTTCCCCTTCATATGCCGCCAGGGGGTCTCCACTCTCTTTCGTTTGCGACGCCCTCGCCTCCGCTTCCCTACGCTTTAACTCCGCGTCCGGCACTTCCTCGCGACCGTCTGTTCGCGCCCGCCCGCCCTCCGGCGAATCCCCGCCGCCGCCTGGGAGCCGCCCCCACACGCGCGCAGACAAAACCATGGCTTCCGCACCCTGTCGCCGAGCATCCGCCACTGCTTCAGTCGCCCCCCG